GCAAAGGCAAGGCATTAACATGATTCCTGATATAAAGACAAGATCTTGCATTATTACTGTGTACAACAGAGTAAACTGTTCCCCCTGTATTATTTAAGTCCCTTATTTGACCCTTGTATAACCAAGGTTCCTGAATAAGCGCTATATCTGCCTTACCCTCAGCTGGCTGTTGGCACAGAGCTGCTGTGGCAGCTTTGCTGTGGTGTAGGTTAATCTGAAGAAATTTCATGATCTCTTCCAATTGAGGAGGGGTCAATTTCCATCTTATGTCCCTCTTCGTTCTCAGACTGGGTTCCATGTGAAGCAGTCCCCCGATCCATTTTACTTTGGTCATCTGGGGGGCTGGGTACCTCATCCCCTTCCTCCTCAGAGACTGAGTTAGAAGATACAGTGTCTGTCACGGGTTCTGCCCGGCGCCGAACTTCAGGATCATCCAGCACCTTAACAGTCCCCTGTGAGAGTCCTGTAAATATTTTATAACCAGTCCTCTGTATAATAGTATAGGAGTCCCGGTCTATGAATAAGATAAGCCTTTGGCCTTTCGACTCAGATTGCTTGTCTGGTACCCTGCAGTTCTCTGTATGAAGTCCCAGATTAAGGTCTACAATCCATTTCAGCAGCTCATCCTGGTTTTGGGCAATTTTGTCCCTAGTCCGGAGAGCTACTTTAACAGGCTTAGGCAGATTCCTGGCATCAGTAGCCTTCAGCCTCGTCCCTGATTCCAGCCCGTATTTGTCAATGGCTTTGGTCAGCCATTGACCAGACTGTTGGTCGGCACATACATAGATAGGTGCACCTCCCACTAGTCTGTAGGATTTCAGGTGTGGTAGTTCTCCCTTTGGAGTCCTACGTAACACCTCCCCCAGTGCTTCCAGAATGCAGTTTTGGTCTTCTTCGGTAAGCTTATCCTTAGGATAAGTGTCCTTGAAGATAGCTACCTTTATATTGGTCAGAGCCTCCTTGTGAGTCCCTGGGCCTTTTCGGAGTTCTGGCCGTTTCTGAAGGGGTACTGCCCTCCAACCTTGACTTCTTAAAGGTGCCGGTGTGGGTTTCTTCCTGTTTAGACGAGCCTTCATTTCCTGGTTGCTGACTGCTCCCAGTTCCTACTTTGCTTGCCTCAACTCTTGCCTTTTTCAACTTCCGTCTAGCACATCCAGATGGGGTTCACCTACTCCAGAGACTAGGTGTCCCAGTCCTTCTCCTGCTGCAGGTATGTTAGAAGTACCTAGCTCCCTGCAGTGGTGTGTCAGTACTACTGACCCCCAGGAGAGTAGTTTTTGATTTTACCTCTGGCAGGTTTTGAACCACTGGTTCATCCTGGCCTTTGGCTGAAATTTCAACAGCAGGTTTGCTGGTTGCAACTGGGCCCCTCAATGGTTCACCAGAGCTTCCAGCCCCATGCTGAAGCATTTCTCATAGGGATCCCCTTGAAGGGGGGTCCCTCTTCAGTTTAAGGACAAAGAGTGCGTGTTCGGGGGGCGAGCGCTATCCCAGATGATAAATGGGAGTGCGATACCAGTTAGTCATGAGGTTGCGACCAGGGCATCGTACACGAGATTATCGACCCTGGGGTTGCTTCTGAGCTTCCCCATTCCCACCCCTCCATATGGGTTGGTCAAACCATTTTAGAGTGTTGAGCCCTAAGGCTTGTGGCACCTTATCGGTACTCTAGGGAGACAACTCTGCACCGGCTCCTTCCTGGTACCTTGCACTTCTCATGACCAACACAGGAGTGGTGCACTGTCAGGGGCTCTCATGTTATGTTCACAATGCTCCCTGGATATAGTAGGGACTCCAAGCCACAGCAGGGAGACACTTCCAATCAACAAGACTAGTTCACAATAATAAAATAATTTAATAATAGAAACACAGTAATACAGAATACAACAATTAGAACTTAATAGAAGCCATGGGCCCAAACACATACCTTTAACCATGTCTGTCAATTACCTTACGGCTTGCCTTAACTGCAGCATCAGACTACATTTAATAGCCCACGCTCACTGCTTAGTACCCTTGTTTACCATCATGCTACTTCAGCCGGCACAAAATAAACCTTAACTAATATTCCTTGCCCACAGGTGATTCCTGGAAAGAAAGACAATGACGTAAAATGAACTTAAAGCCCATCGCTGCCACACAGTAACCTATAACACAAGCAAAACCCCCAACATGCGTTGCCAGCACACCCGCCCAGACATAATTTAGAATACCTTCCAAAACAGAATTTGAAAATACCCCCAGGCTGGCAGCGTACATCTGATACGCTGTGGATCCACGCAGTGAATGAATCTTGATTCACTAACCTGCTTCTGCTTAGCCATTTGTGGGGTAGGGGAGGAAGTGGAATCCCACGTGGTACACTCCAGCACGGGGAGAAGGGGTAGGGATCAACATGGCTGGAAGGCATGACGTCATCCAAGAGCCTTCAACATGGCTCAACTCAAATAGCCGTAGCTATCCGCATAGGAATGCTCTCCCGCATTCGTCCTGGGTACACCGTAGTGACACCCAAGAGTCATTATGCCGCCGTGTGGGAGGCTCCAGTCACATAGCCATCGCCCTTTATGGAAACTCAGCTGCCAGCCCCGGAAGGTCATACTGATCCAGACCCCCAAGACTGTCGTTGCCTGGCAGGACCACGAGGAGGTGTTCCAAAGCTGTGTCCCAACGCATCCCTGGTCTATGATACGTTCCCACCAAAGACACAGCTGTGGCTCGGGCAACCTCACTGAGGATGGCGTCATTATCACCCCGCCTACCCTGTGATAACTTGTAATTGATATGCCCATGTGGCATCATATATTGCTATATTTCTCACAGAATTTATCTATTTTTTTCTACTCTTATGAAGCTTGACTTTTGTATAAAAGTAAAATAGCTAGTCACAGTAGGGGATTGGTGGTAGCCTTCAGCTGAGGCCCTGAGTTCAAGCTACTGCGACACTCGAACATTTACTTATTACTCTGCTGTCAATAGAGTAGATTGTAAATTAGCAACCAAATTAAATAAAAAAAAAGCAGTGGTATGAGACATTTATGTCCTGAGCAGTTTAGTGCATCTTTGTTGTGTTTTAACATTCAGCCAGTGAAAATTAGTGGTCTGAGAATTCTAAACATGTGGTATATAAACAAGGTTGGAGAATTATATAGAGCATATTGCAATTTTTTAAATAGAAAGCTTAATTCAGAGAACTTATAATCTCTCTGTCTAAAATAAAGAAAGGCTGAAAGAGGCACTTAGTGTGAGCAGGAGTATGGTGCAAAGGATTGCTAAAGATAGTAACATTGAGGAAATTTCTGATGGAAACATGTCTTTTTTATTGCCTCATAAGACAATAATTAAAGGTAAGCCTGTTGCAGATATTGATGACTGATAAAATGTATTCACAATAACAGTGATGTTATATGACAGAAGAGAGTATCTCATGCTAGAAAAGTTTCTCTTTGGTATTCAGAATCACACAGAATTTTGAGGAAAGAACATCTTTGTGGTGAATTCTCTGTACCATTGATTTGCAATATAAGAAACTGAAAAATGCATAGAGGAAACTTCTAGAATGGAGCAATTTCATTGCCACTTGGACAGTATTCCTGTGGAGAATGAAGGTGATGAGGAATGAAAGAATGGTTATTCCGTACCTCAATGAGACATAGCTTAATCACAATCACATTTTGCCTAAATGCTGGCAAGATTCTGAAGGGAATGGTGACCTAATAGTACCTATAGTCAGAGGTGGGCATGTGGGATTGGTACAGACCGGATTCATTTCGAGTATAAACTGTTGTTCATGTCAGATAAAAAATTAGTAAACACAGATTACCTAGGAGAAGTGAATGCAGAAGTATTCAAAACCTTGTTCATGAAACTTCTACATTATGCAGCTAGCACACTGAAAAATATGATAATCATAATGGATAACATAAGCTATCACTCTCTTCCTCTCAGCAAGGCTCTGAACACAAGCTCAAGGAAATGTGAAGTTACTCATATTTACTGGTTGCAGAAGAGCAACATTTGTCATGATTTAAGTCACGTCAGGAATGAGCTACTCACCCTTGTTATTGTGTTCAAACTGGTGAATACATTTTACGAGCACAACAAGATTGCATTCTCTAGAGGACACACAGTAATCCATCTCCACTTTATAATCTAGTAGATCTCATTTGGACCCTAAGCTAAATATGAAGTTGCTGAAGAAACAAACAGTTGGCATTGAGCAACTTTTAAACAGTGCCCTCGATACCTTCTCAAAGAAATGGTGGGAGTCCCGTGTTCAGCATGTGGAAAGGATACAGGATGAAGATCTTATAAAGGAAATCATGTGAGCCTATGTCATGGACAAAATTATTAACTTACAGGATGGCAGTGTCTCGGGATGAAGGCAAAAATGAAAACTGGATCAGCTGTTGCACGATTTCTAAGATCGCTTGGTAACACTTATCAGTTCTACTCTGTACTGCATGACCCTTCCAACCTGCCTAACCCCTGAAACTTAACTGAATTCAGGTTTTGCATATGGTTACAATTCTCAGCATGAACCTTTCCAAAATATGAATTCTCTAAATTGTCATTGAATTTATTATTAAGTATAAAAGAAATTATTGTGTCATCCCCATATGTGAAAGTAGCACTTACAGGGCAGTGATAGTGCATAATCTTTTATTTTTTTGTGGTGAGGGATCCAGTTCCAATTAATTTATTTCTTACACTTTAATTTCAGTAAGAAAATTAGTGTGAAAGTAAAAAAAAAAATCTGTTGACAAAAAAACTGTCATACAAGTTTACAAATACAGCAAATCTGTTGCTGCTGTTATCATAATCTAATCGTCATTGTTATCATCATCATCATATTTACTGTTGTCATTAAACACATAGAGGCCAATGGTATTGTTAAAAATTTGGTTTGTTGACAGTAACACACAGGAATATCATCAGAGTGTTTTTGTTGGTTAAAATGCTGTTTTATTCATAACATTTTGTAACATTAAAATTTTCAGACCAAGGAACGGTATGGAAAAGAGTGCAAGATTTGCTCCAGACCGTTCACTGTGTTCCGATGGTGTCCTGGTGCTAGAATGAGGTTCAAGAAGACAGAAGTATGTCAGACATGTAGTCGGTTGAAGAATGTTTGTCAGACATGTCTGTTAGATTTGGAATATGGTCTGCCCATTCAAGTTCGCGATGCAGCTCTCCGAATTAAGGATGATCTTCCTCGTTCAGATGTCAATAAAGAATATTATATTCAAAATATGGACAAAGAGGTATGGTGACTATAAAGTCTGGCACTTAGCTGAGGGCTTATAATTTTGTTTTCTAGATTGTAGCTTAACAGTGAAAGAAAATTATATCTTTTGCAGTACACTTGTTAATAGTGGTGTTTGGTATGCAGATAGAACTTTGTGGCTTTAAATATTTGAACATTTTTTATGAATATTTGTATTTCTGCTTTTTTATGTACATTTTGAGAAACTGAAATGCCCGGTGTAGTGCGTATTGTCTGACAGGCTGCCACAATGCATGCATGGAGAGTTGGTACATCAGCAACAGCAGTCGAATACACGACAGACTTTAAGTGTCCTCACAGGTAAAAGTCCAGGGGTTTAAGTCAGGAGGGCTTGGTGGCCAAGCAGTCGGTCCACCTCTGCCTATCCAGCGCCCAGGATAATGTGCATTCAGGTGCCTGCAGGCAGACTGAAATGTGTGGGACCACCATCATGCATGAAGTACAGCTGTCGACAAGATGCTAGTGGCATGTCTTCCAAGTAATCAGGCACTGTAGTACACAAGAAATCTATGTAGTTCTGTCCATTAAGCTTGTCCAGAAGAACGTAGGGTCTCAACAAATAATCACCAACAATGCCTGCCCAGATGTTAATGACGAACCTCTGTTGAAGAGACGATTGGATAGTTGCACGGGGATTTATGTCTGCCCACACGTGCTGATTATGAAAATTTTGGATTGTGTCCCTTGTGAATGTCGCCTCATCTGTGAACAGCACAACAGCTGCGAAGTTAGGTGTCACATCACATTGTTGCAGTACCATCAGCAGAATGTTACTCTTGCAGGATAATCTGCAGGAGACAAGGCTTGTACACACTGTAGATGGCATGGATACAGGAGCTGTTCTTGTAGCAGTCTCCAGATCGTCATGTGCAGGATATCCTTCTGCAGGCATAACTGCCTTGTGCTGACTCCAGGACTTTGATCCACAGCATTGAGAATATCTTCCTCGTCCTCAGGGAATGTACTTATTGGCCATCCCCCTGTGCCTGGTGGATGTGCGAAACTCCCGCGTTCTCATAGGCGGCGATTGATTCCTTCAAATGTCTTTTTGTCTGGCAATCTGCGCATTGGGTAGCATTCCTGATACAAGCAATGTGCCTCCAAAGCATTATCATCCGCCAAACCGTACATGTAATGCATGCTCACAGCAGACTGCAAACAACAGATAACAGGTGTCATACACACCTTTCAGATATGGCTACAGCTACATAACTGGAGAAGACAGGATATCATCTGCCCGTCCTAGAGGTATTCAGGCCCATATCAAATGGATTCATAACATAATAATTTGTGTAACAATTGTAACCGGTGTGTTGCATTTTTATTCAGGCCAACAGGACGTGTCGGCATGCACTCCATAAATTACAGATAACTCTGTAATTATGCATTTCTAGACCCATGTTGTCATACACTTTTTTTTTCTTCTCTCTATGTTAGGAGTCCATTCCTGAAGTTTTGCCGTTGAGTTTTGATACACTCTGTATATCTACCCACTATTCTTTCATTATCCTTGCATCATGTGTAAAGATTTTATGTACATGGGCACTGAAGCCAAAGGTTCTGATTAACTCTACTTAGTTAACCTTTATCCTACGGCCCTTTAAACTTAGGTTGTGTTAGCGGTACGGACTTCTTTAAAGGGCCGCTATTTGAGATTCGTTAAAATTGTAGTCACTTACTAATTTTGCTCCTATTTCTGCTATTTCTGTGATAATCGAACGAAATAAACGCTGTTTTGTTCTCGAAAGAATATAGAATCAGATATTGTAATTTACAGATTGTATAAAACATGTTAAAATTTTTGCACTGACTCTAAAAAGAAATTTGCCAATTTTTTTCCTTCTCTGCGAGAATTCATACGTTTTGGACACCCCTGAATGCCATCTCCTGGATGGCGACAGTAGTGCAAGTAATGCTAACAGAGCGGAAGTTGTGTCTACAGACGTTATCGCAGTCTTATGTGACGAACGTCAACTGGAATGTGGTCAGTGGAAGAGAGATATAAACTCACGTGTTGTTTATAGATCTCTCCTAAACAATACGTTCACTGTTCTTCTACAGTTCAATGCTAGCATTCTTTGTGCATGCGTTGCCGTTGCCGTACTAACACAGCGTAATAGCTTAGTGGCTGGACGTGTTCAGTCGAGAGTAATTTCAAATTTCGTTCGTAACATGTGGTCCGTGTC